CTGGATGTATTCTCCAGGGCCAAAACCAAATGGGGCATGGGTCAGTCAAGTAAAGGTCCCTAGGGCAACTGCTGCTACAAAAAAAGTCTCCCATGGAAGGATAAACTGGTGCCGGGTCGGGTTTGAGCATTAGGCTTCTGCCAGTCACAAGTCAAAGCCCGGCCATCGACTAAATGAGTGCTTGGGTCCCTGCCCAGCTCCGAGAAGATTAAAGAGGCAATTCCCCCCTCCATCCTCCACACCCCCTTCCCTGCCCCCGTCTGGGACTCTCTGACGTTCTTATGTCCACAGTGGGGGTGCTGAGGGAGACTCTCCATAACATGAAGACCACCTCATAGGGTTTTAACAACACATGTAATTAAATTATGACCCATCCAGGGGATGCATACAAGGGTTGGTCACCCAGCATTCCAGGTCCTCATGGCAGTCTTAGACAGCTGGGAGAGAAACTGAGACATGATTCAAAAAAACAAAACAAAACACACACACACACAAAAGAAACAGCACATTTCTGACCCACTACATATGTCCACTCCCCTAGCCCAAATCCCAAACAGGTTTTAATTGGAGAATCATCTGCCTTTTTCTTCTGCTCTCTCTCTCAGTCAGGTCAAATAGTAGCCAGTGAGATCGCTGCCTCCATGGTCCAGGTCCCACTAAGCTTAAAATCCTCAGTCTCCATTTGTGCAGGCCTTTATAGTAGGAGTCCTGGGGGAAAACTTCTAGGCAAGAGTTAAGAAAGGGAGAGCCAACTAACTGTTTTCCACTCCTGACATATGAGCATGGCCCTAGATCTTCCCATCAGGCATAACAGGAGTTAATCACAGCCCTTAGCCGCTTCTTCCATCAACCCTGTAGAAGTCTTAGCCTTTCAGAAAATTCAGCATTACAGCCAGACACAGCTGTTAAGTTTGCCCATTAATTACTAGGTAACTCGCCTCTCACCTTTATTGTGATTCTGTAAAATGGTCGCACACTCTCGGGAGTGGGGAGTGTTCTTATAAGTCTCATTTTTGCAATGTTTTTATTTCCCAGTCCCTCATTTGAAATTTGAATAGGTGAGCCATTTCTCACAAATTAGGGACGCTTCTGGGACTTTCTGTACCCATGTAGAGGGAAAGGCTAGTTCAAGGGGAGGTGCCCCACCTGATTTTGGGTGGCCTCTTGGCCTGAGCCCCATCTCTTCACAGATGCTATAGAATAGGCTGGAGACTGTTTTTATTTGGAAGATGGCGAAAATGACACAAGGGGAATGTGAGGCAACCAGGCAAGCCACATGGCCATAATAGTCCATTGGAAAAATACTGAGGTTCTAGGGAGGATCAGTTCCCCAAACCAGGAACAAGAGACATTGCTTTTTAATGGAGTGCTTTGTGGAGTGTCTGTGGATTGTGCACACTTGTTAATATCATGTATAAGAGCATTTCTATTGATGTTTCCTGTTGATGTTTGAATCAATCTGTTTAAAGATAGGAAACGTCCAATCTGCTGGGGCCCATCTGCTTATGGATAGGCTGAACATGTGGCAGAGTTTGAATCTTGAGGGTGTCTTTGTCTGCAATGTACCTTGGTTACTGATTGCTTTGCTAGCTTTGTTTGCTCTTTGCCGTTTTTATGAACATAGAAAGCCCTCTGTCTCTGCTCTCTGTAGGCTTTGTGCCACTCAGAACCAAAGGTTATTTTGCTGGATTAAGATTTGAAGATTCTAAGGCTAATTTGAAAGAATAAAATTTGTGAAGGTTAAATATATGTTAATCCAGGGAAGTTTAAACAAAGACCATTGGCTGAAGTTGTAGCCTACCTGTGATTGACAAACCATTTGTCTTCCCCACCTGGGGCGAAATGGGAGGGGGAAGGAAAAAAAAAGAGCAGTTTTACTCAGACAAGTGACTTTTGGTTCCAAAAGCAGCAGAATAAGAGGTGACACTGGCCAAACCTGTGTGGGCACTTAAAAAAAGAAGCAGGGTGGGGGGGAAATTTACAAAGCCCTGTCCAGCATCGCATCCATTGAACATCCAGTGGGAAGCTTGGGTATTAATAGGGACCAAGGACCGGTGGTCCAGTGTCTGCCTGTGACATCACAAACCCAAGCAGGCTTGCTGAAGTGGAACTGAGGCTGGCTAAGGGGCAGCCGCTTCTGTCCCTTGGGGGCACAGCAGCAAGGGAATGGGCAGATGGTAGGCGTGTCCTCCCAGCATTTTCTCTACAATTCAAAGTATACTGTAGAGTTATTAAAATATAATAATTTATTAGCCAGATTGAAAAGGATTAATTCAGTTTTCCAGACCAAATCTTTAATGTTAAAACTGGTTTAAATTTTAATAATCTTTAAATTGGGTATATTTGACAGTTTTTCCAAGTGTAATATTTCAAGAATTTAACTGACAGACAGCTTTGTGACATCTCAAGGGCCCTGAAGTGATGCAAATATTTATGCTCTCTCCCTTAAAGGAAATATTTTTGAACTAAATTAGACCAATGCAATATACTGGGAATTGCATGAGGAAACTCTCTCAAATAAAAATTAATAGCAATGTTCTATTTAAATACATATACTTTGAATGTTATAGAAATTTCAGTCTGCTTTAGAAAAGAACTTACACAAATTTAAAGCCACGTTCAAAACAGAAACTTTCAATCAGGAAAAAAGGGCAAGCATAATAATTCTCTGCATCTGCCAATGACATTCCAGGTATTTGTGTTTCACATATTAGAGGTTTTTAATTATTTTCAATGCTTAATACACCATATGCAATAAGCCATGTGCCACATGTTATTTTTTATATACAAATTGTTTGTTGTACTAGAAGGTTGTTGTCTCAGAATATTATAAAGTTTTTTTCAATTGCATTTTAAACAAATCTATAACCATGCCACTTCTGAATTTTGTCATTGGACAGCCATTGTCTTATTTTGGTGCATTTAAGTCTTTGGAAAAACCCATGGAAAGGACTCTGACTTACTCTAAATTGCAGGCTTCTAAGCAGATCATATCTTTGAACTAAAAGGGGTTTGTAGAACTTCAGGGTATTATTAAAGTATATATAGAAGGTGGTACCTCCTTCCAGCATACCTGATTGAAATATACAGATGAGCACTAGATATTCAGGGGTAAATTTAAGCTTAAAAGGGGGAAATAAAAATCTCATATACTAATATTCACCATTAATAAGAACTAATAAGGTGTGCCTTTTACCTAAACAATTCCTTGTAAAGTCAACTAGCATGTCCCTCTCTCAGCGGGGAAGCAACCAAGTTGGTTGCCCTGTTTAAAGAAAGTAAAATCTCTAAGGTGGCATCTTAAGGCTTGAAAATAAAACAACAGAAATTAAGGTTCAATAAAAATAAAAAGTTAAGCCAATGAGCAGGAAGCTTAAAGTACTAAATTTGACTAGAAAGAGATTCCATCCTTTCTCCAAAAATCAGGCAGAGGACAAATCCTTAATAACTAGGGGCATACAAGGGGTGGGGACCGGAGCTGTTAATACTTTACTTGGATCACTGGATATTGGCCAAACCAGGGTTCCAGGTACTGTGTAAACTCTCTTAAGTTCTCATCCTGGAGTAAACCCCTCAGAAATACAGTCCAATAGGTACTTCAAAAATATTACAGCTGCCTCAGGCACTTTTAATCATAAACAAGGGGCCTTAGAACAATGGTTATACATACCACCTCCATCAGGAACTCACCAGGAGCATCAGGAAAGGGTGGCCTCTGCGTGAGCTTGGGTGGTCAGTCGTGGTGGTGAGTGCAGTTAACTCCACCTGGCCACTTTGTCTGCGACTGAATGCCGACAAGGTGGGTCACCTAAATCATCACGTCCTTTTGTGGGTACAAGGATGCTGGTCATCCTTGTACATATTTTCTTTCTTCTTCTTTTCTTTTCCTTGATGGGAAGCCTGCCATCCATATTACATAAAATACAGCCCCTAGGATACATCCTCAAGAATTGGGATAACGTTGACCCATAAACCTTAAAGAAAAAGCGCCCGATCTCTCTTGGCCCTCAGATTTGGCCTCGGATGCCAACTAGAAAATAGTAAAAAGTAGCCCCAGAGGGAAGTTTTAATATTTTCAGTAGGAAAAATGGGAAATAATTGAAAGTCCCATATATCCAGGCTTTCTTAACTCTAGGGGACAAGCCAAAGGGAGGTGGGAAACTAAATTTAATCATTTGCTCCTGGCAATAACAACCCAAGTCCACTGAGGGAGAGGGCAGAGACTGTGCCCCACCCCTGCCCAAGACTAAGCCAACCTAAACTTGCCCCAAGACAGATAGAGGATCTGGCCATACTTAAACCCAGATCCCCTTCTCATCCTGGGATATGAGACAAATTAAAAATAATTTAAGAAAGTTCTCAGAAAACCCCGAAAAACAAAAGAATTTAGAAGTGAAATAATTCCCCCTGTAGACCTCAATGGGATCCTAAAACTGAGAGGTGGAAAATAAAGCACTGCCAGTTCTGTATTATAGAAGGGCTCAGATGTAGCAAAACAAAGCCTGTTAACTACTCTAAATTAATCACCATTAATCAAGGGGCTGACAAAATCCCCTCAGTCTTTTTGAAAGGCTCGGGGAGGCTTTTGGTTAAGTGTGAAAGGACAAAGAACTTTCCTCCATCTTGTCTTGTAGGGCTGGGCCCTCAGCCTAAGCCCCCTCCCTTTTCTGAGAGTGACCACAAGAATGCCAGTACTGTCCTAACTCCCCCAACAACCACCTGAGTGGACCAATGAAGCTCCAGGAATGCAGCTAAGGTCCTAATAAGGCTATAGTGGGGGACAGCTCAAGCCTCAGAATGTGCTGGTCACTTCCTGACCTTTGTGCTGTAAGACCCTGCTGAAAAACCCTGACCAGAGTGACCAATCTCTGTAACTCACATCACTTACCTAAGCCCACCCAAATGACTAGCACTATATAACATTTGTCCTCCTGGGACTCTGTTCTCTCATCTTGCCGCTGCGTCGGAAAGAGGCTGGGAGCCAAACCCAGGTTTGAATAAAGACTCTTTGCTTTTGCATCGGAAAAGGCTCCCTGGTGGTTGATTATTGGGGACCCTGAACTCTGGGCATAACAAAGTGTACAAACTTTACCTCAGATTCAGAATTGGGACAACTAATTTTAAAGGACAAACTTATCACACAGGCTATCCCAGATATCAGGATGTTGCAAGAATTGGCTATTAGTCCCAAGAGTAATTTAGAAAATCTCCTGAAAGTTACCACCTCTGTGTTCTATAATAGAGACCAGGAGACGGAAAAAAGGAGAAACAGGAAAAGCCAGCCCAAAACCAAGGCTCTTTGTGCCATGCTTCGGTAAGACAAGGGCCACCAGTCAGAGCTCAGAGGCGAACGGTCAGTCCTGGTCACCTGCTACAACTGTAGACAGGTTGGACTTATAAGCTGGAGTTGCCCCAGGGGGCATGGTTGACTCCTGAAGCCCTGTTCTACCTGTCAAGGAAACCACTGGAAGTCGGACTGCCCCTGGAGACTGAGGTCCCTTGGGACAGGGCTGGCGACAAGCTGGCCCAACAGGACTGATGGGGCTCAGGGTCTCTCAATCCAGCTCCTCAGAGGACTGCCACCTCCACCCAGAAGCCCCGGGTAAGCCTGACAGGGGGGTGGGAGGGAAAGGAAATTAATTTTTTCCCCGATGTCGGAGCCACCTTCTCTGTATTCCCAAACCCTGGTAAATTATCCTCAGAGGCTGTAGCCATTACAGCAGGGGTCCTCAAACTACGGCCCACGGGCCACATGCAAATACAAATATTGTATTTTTTCCCGTTTTGTTTTTTTTTTTTACTTCAAAATAAGATATGTGCAGTT